ATTGCGTGTGGGAATTGGAGGAATTGGATGGATGGTGAATGAATAAATCCGTCCGTTAAACAGATATCGTCAATGAAACGAATAACCAGGAATGCATGAATGCGTTGCACAATAAAAAAATAAAACAAACAAAAGAAAGAAAAAACAAATGGGATGCGTGAAAATAGTAATGGAATAATAAAAGGCGGCGATTTTGGAAGTCGACGGGATTATGATGTGCGATGATTGATACTCTTGGTTTTTAAGATGCGGTGGAGAAATGGAAGTAGGATGGAGCGAGCGCTGTTATTTATTTGCATTTATCGGTGCCTAAAAGTGTATAATTTCATCGGATGGTTAAATCATTCCGAGCCTTAGGTTGTAATTTGAGCCAGCGGCCAACTTGAAACTACTCGCCATACTCACTTACACACATACCTCTATACTCGCATGAGTTGTATGTATGTATATATGTGGCTGGCAAACGGCGACGTGTCGTGCGACTCTTTTAAACCACGCTGTACGTTGACCCTGGGATGGTGAAATTCGCAATCTCAACAAAATGGAAGTGTGTGTGTGTGAGTGTATGTGTATGCATGTGTGTGTACACACATGTATCATTTTACAATGCTCCGCCTGCTTGACTTGAATCATGATATATCTGCATACCACTGAAATATTAAACCGAAATCCAATAATATACAAACATACACGCACGTACGTCCACTAAAAAGAATAAAATTATTAATAAGCACGGTAGTTGCCTATGCTTGAAAACAGATTTTTTTTGTTTAAAGTTTAAAATTTCTTAATTTTGTTTTGCTTTAAAAAATCCTTGCAGTTATTTAATATAAATTTTGAAATCTGGATTTCGGTTTTTCAGTTTCTTAATTATTTTACAGTAAATTTAAAATTCTCATCATTGGAAAATCCATAAATTTCATAGAAATTCGTTAGGAATCTCATAGTCACAATTTGTTAAAAATTCCAAGTGATTCATTAAGTCATCATTACTTATTGAGTAAATCAAAATCAAAGAAATATCCTTTGTATCTTTCAACTTCCTAATGCAGTGTTTTCAAGGTACAAAAGTTTTCGCGTTCTCTCAAATTTCCATCCTCAAGGCCAATAATCTCGGCACCGTCAAGAATGTCCAATTCCAACAATCCATAGATTCGATTCGTGTCTCGCAATTAAAACTGGGGAAAAGGCCGATCGATTGTCAATGCCATTGGAATTTATGCAAGCATTTCCTTCCCGAGGAAATTCGCATTTCAAGAAACCACTATTCCGCTGTTAAATAATGAATTTGCGTTTACCGTGCATCCCATGCCAATTTAATGTCCACGCACGCAATTTTCCCCCCGATAAGACGCATGCCAATTACTGTGTCGATTATGTCTTAATGGCGATGAGATAATTACAGACAATTAGATAGAAGTAAACTTTTGTCAGGTGCACTTGTTTTTTCTTACTTATACTAACAGATGGCTCCCTCTATGATTCAACTAACCTTTACGAGAAAATGTACGTTGTTTTGTTAGTTAAGTAAATAAATATTCGTAACATATTAATTGATAATAACTATTTAAGGAAATTGTTACTTTCAAAGAAACAACTTTATGCTTTACATACAAATTTGTAGTTCATTGTGTCGGAATGGAGTTTCTTACTGTAATCGAGTAGTTATTCAGTTTTTATGAAAATTATATGCAAAATGTAGAGAATGCTTTTGTTATTCAGGCTACTTGATTATAACATACAAATGGAACGGTAAATAATATTATAAGCTTGGACGAATTAGTTGTTTTCGATGGAATAAAACTGTATTCAGTATGTTTTAAAGCCTGTAGCGATATGATCATTTGATTTTCTATATCAGAGGCGTCCAAACTTTTTGCTGCGAGGGCCAGTTTGGTATTTAAATTCATTAGCGGGGGCCAAGCATTGTAAATATGTGAATTAAAGAATGCGCTCTTCATCTGCGCGAGATCTAATGCCGACGTGCGACGCTACATTTATATTTTACGAAATTTTTCAAAATACTTGGCGGGCCGGATAAAATCGCTTGACGGGCCGGGTTTGGCCCGCGGGCCGTAGTTTGGACACCTCTGTTCTATATTATGTGCATTCGTTATTTTACTTAATTATAAACGAGTTCATGCACTTTCAGCCTTGAGTCTGACCCCTGAGAAAGTAAAATCAATTGACACTAAAAAATGAACATTATTTCATTTAATAAATTTCATTTGTATTTTTGAAAAATCAATATAAGAAAAGTTGGAAATAAATCTTCTTCTTCTTCTTCCTTCCCCCTTCTTCATTTGGCTTCCGCATTACGCGCCAATAAGCCAGCCACTGTCTGTATTCAAAACACAAAAACCAAAATAACCAGCTTCTCCCAATAAACCAAAACTTCCTTCTTCATCACAAATAATCAAAATAAAGAACTTATTCTAACGCAACTAAAAAATAACTATTAAATCAAACGAACCGGAGTCCCAGCGGTTCAGTACTCAGGTTCTTGGAGAGACCTCGGAAGGGTATTGGAATTAAATGTAATTATATTTAAAGTAGAAACGCCATCTAACATACTTTAAGTTAACCATATTTTAATATTATGGTGTTATTTGGAAATATTAAAGCCTGCGTGATAATTGAGAAATCTTTTAAATTGATATATTATTCTTAAGTAAATAATGATGGGCACACTTTAAGTGGCGACTGACTTAATTGGATAATCAGTGCGAAATTATATGTGCGTAATGCTCGAATTGGCCATTTAAAAAGCACTAAAACTTTTCAAGTTGGTTTCAGTTTCCCTGGAACTCGCCCAGCTCAATTCCGAATGAATTGGAAATCCATTAATGATGATGCTTCCAAAACGAAACGAGCTCAACGCTGCTTTGTACATATATAAATATATATATATATATACCAATCCTCGTACTAATTGAATCTATCTCTCTTTCCGACTCAATCAGCGCACTCGGAAATACTTTTGTTTTACTCAATTTCACACGGCTTAAAAGCCAAGACCATTAACACCGAACACTATTTACTACTTCGCATCAATACCCACTTCAGCTAATCGCGTACACACAAAAGAGCGTGCGCGAGTGAAAGAACCGATTCATTCCCACGAACGGCACACGCATTAATTGTTGATCATCATCTTTTTTTTTTGTTTCTCTTCATCATTTTTCTTCTCTATCCACAATTTCCCATGAAAAGCAGAATAACTTCAGATTTGTACGTTTATTCCGTCTTAAAAACGGAAATATTTATTTCAATTAATTTAAATTCAGTTACATTTTAATAATATTTATATAAATATAAACACGTATTGGAAATAGATTTCGGATTTTAGCTATAGGTTCAAGTGTGCCGTGAAATAAAAAAAAGCATTTGTCACAAAAACGCTTGAAATTGTATACTTTGTATGTTTGTATCATGAATAGATTTTTCTGGATTCAGTATAAATCAGTAGAACTTAAACTACAATTGATCTTTTTAACCATTACCCCAAAATATTAAATATCGTAAATTTATCGTAATTTATCGTAAATTTATTGAATTAATTTACATTTACATATTTATTAAAAAAAGTTACATGAAAATAGTAAGTATGTAATAGACAAACAAAATAAAATTCTTAAATTGGAACAAACAAAATTTAATTGAAAACTTTCCCCCTTCAGGTTTTGGAAAAATGATGTTGCTTCATGTTTGATATAATTACTTCAAAATTTTGATGTAAGAGCAATTTGAATACAGTCGTTATCGGCATTTAATCGATTTCTGTTTTTCGTTTTTATGTTCATTAGAGTGGAAAAGCCTTGTTAACAAAGGTAGGTTGTTGCAAATGGCAGCAATTTTTTTTACCGCCTCCTCATGTGCAATTTTCCTTTGCAGCCTTTGACAACCAAAAAGACGACAGATTTGCTTTGGTCTCAAATTGAATGCGTGCTTCAGTATTGGATCGAAGTTCAAGAATTGCCTCTGCCAAACCTGGAGGTTCTTCTGGTATCTTAGTAATTTCACATTTAAAAGGATCTACAACCCAATTCAAAGTCTGTACATCAAGATCTGGAAAGTAGTAATTTTTACCCCAATTGGGGTAATTTACCCCCAGTTCCCCGACCGCTGATTTTAATAATCTATATCTTCTTCGTAACGTGCGTCCTACTAGTAGGAGGGGCTTAAAATTCTATATATCAACCAATTGAATTGCTTGAAATTTGAATGGGTCGCGAAATGACAGCTGTCACATTTGAAACAAGGTGACAGTGTCAAGTTGAGAAACAATGTTGTTACATCATATGAGTCATAAAAATGTGTTATATTATTCTGTATTTATATTGCGAAGATATTTTATGCGTCCTGGCGCATCCACCAAATTTTCTTAAAACTGTATTTTGTTTTGAAATAATAGTTCTTAGACCACTAACCTCACTATATTTTTTTTTTGCAAAATGATTATTTCTTTCGGTGCGTTTATGTTTCTTTTTCGCAAGGTTTACGCTTGACGAAGCAGATAGTTTAGCGTGTGTCGGAGTAGAGGCTGAAAGTGGTAGTAATTAAAATAAATATAGGTTAGGGACTCGTATGTGTATGTGTTTAAGTGTGTATGTCTATTTTCCGAGTTGGCTGTTGTACGTCTGGGATTATAATTTCAAATGGAATTATTTAACTTTGCGTCTAAATAAATAAATAAATATGCAAGTAAATAGACGGCGTGTTATCTTCTGTGTATGTTGTACACGTACGTAGATGTCGACGGGTATTCGAAGCAGTTGTTGCATTAGTGAAATGACCTAGACTGAATTGCATTCAATTCCAATTCCTCAATGAACAACTTGCATACACATATAAACAAAACGCACGGCGACGAAAGCGACTCGCTATTAGAGCTCACGACCGTAAAAGATTATGCATGAAAAGGCGCACACCAAACATGAATCAATCAAGGTTACAGACCTTTCATAGTTTAACATTTTTCTTCTTCTTTTGTTTTGCAGGATAACCTCTCCATGCCGGAATCTTCAGAGCCCAATGAGGAAGATCAATTCTCAGGTCAGTACTGACCTCATAACATCATTTAATTACATGACTGCTTCTCTACCATTCTTATTTTTATTTTTGAACACTCGCCCAAAATCCCCGAAACGAACAATATATTATTTACTATTTTGCACAGATCGTTAAAGTTAATCAAAAATATTAAGAAAATTAAGTGAACTGTTGAATACTTTTTGTGTTGTTGGTGTTGTTTAATAGTGGCAGGGTTGGTAGAATTATCCCAGACCGGATCACTATATCACCTATTTACTTTAATTTTTTTGTTAAGGTGTGCTTAAACAAATGAAATATTAAATTTTATCCTGTTTAGTTTTAAATTAATTTAGTTGAATCTAACCACTTTCATTAATCAAAGTTTGGTATCAAGTTCAATGGCGGATTAATCACTTGAGATGTCTCTTGCGAAAATTCGTCACTGATCAAGTTTGCTTGGTTTTGTCATCAATTTCTTATTTTAACATTTCTGCATTTCTTTTATGTTTGTTTTTTTTTTCTTGTTGTTAATATTTTAAACTGATCGATTGAGCATGTTATTTTTCTATAAGTTTAAAAATAATTAATTTTGCCAACCCCGCTTCTAACTCGTGTATAAATTGATTGGCTGTGCAGGGTCCGGGATTATGAAAGAATCCGACAAATTCAAGTTGATGCTCTTGGCGTGGAACTACCACAATCAGACACAAGGTAATTTGAGACAGCAAATGTGGAGAGTATTCAAAATTTCTTTGCAACATTCTCAACACGAAACGAACAGCAATAATAGCTGTTGCCGATGAAGGATGACCAAATCTAATAACGTGGACGCATTCGTCCTGCCTTTTGCTTGGATGTTTCAGCTGGAAACAGAAATGGAACTGCAGATGCGCCCGAGTTATCGAACTTGGCGAGCAGCGAAGAGATGGCGGGACTGTGGGCTCAGTATCATTCAGCCCTGGGATTGGCCAAAGGGAAGGCAACGCCTCCGGTGCCCAGGGACCAATCTGTGAGTGCGCCGAATTTGAAATCGAGTCATCCAATTGGAGCGAGAAACGTGACCGGTGACCTTGCCACGTCGCGTACAAACGTAACGCGAACGCACTTTATTTAATTGTGTGTGGCCTTTGGAAGTGACATTCTTGTGAATTCGCTTCCTGGTTGCACCTGGCTCAAGGAATTCTTTTACTCGCTCCTTTTGGCCTGGTTTGGTTTCCGTCTATTTTCTTTATATTCTTTTTTTTTTCTTCATATAAATTCAATAAATAATCCCGTTTCTTTTTCTTCCTTGTTCTTCTGAATTCAGAGTCCGGTGAATGCCGAAACGGGCTCAGCTCACGACGAAACGAGTTCCAGCGGTAACAAGGAAGATGAGGACGACGATGACGACGAGAGCGACGACAAAATTGACATACACTCACACGACCCAGAAAGGTTGAAAGCCTTCAACGTAAGTATACACTCCCTTCCATGAGTGTAGTGCATTTTTCTCCTTTTACTTATTCTTCTTCTTTCTCTACGTTTCCTGCAGCCGCGATACGCCCTCTCTTGGCTCTGTCATTAAATCATGCCCGCCGCAGTCGCATTATCATAGATACATATCTATTATCATTTCGTTACGAAATCACAGCTCGGCCCTAATCCACCTAATTCATTTCAACTACAATTTAATTAATGCATACTTAAAAACCATTTCATTCTACAAACACTCACACACTACATACACTATTGAAAATTCAGACAATGACAAAGTTTAATTAAAAAGCAGTGGTTATATTAAATTATTTATACTTTTTGATGCCAATCAAATACCTGAACCGCGAATATCTGCTAAATTTTATATATTTCACATATTGATATGAGTCCATACGTTATTGTATTACTAATGGATATGAAAAAATGAATCACATACATAAAAAAAATGCCATGGCCATGTATCTGGCCGCAGTATTTTGGTCCTAAAACATATATATTGTGGAATTTATCAATGAGTGATTATATAAATTTATTGTATATTTTTCTACGTCCAATTATTGTACTGTTATTTAATAGTAGTTATTTTACATTATCTAATTTTGTAATTAGCGGGAATGATATGTGTACATGGGTGTGAATGAAAAGCTTCAGGGTAAAACCATTCTGAATAGGCGGATCAAGTTGGCGTTTAATGATCACTTTGCTGATATAACAAAACAAAATATTGAAACAAAGAGATCGATTTGTTTCCTTTCATAATGTAATTGGATGAAATTCTAGTTGCAACACCAGAAATATATGTAATGATTTTGTAATTGCAGATGTTTGTCAGACTATTCGTCGATGAAAATCTGGATCGTATGGTGCCGATCAGTAAGCAGCCAAAGGAGAAAATTCAGGCTATCATCGACTCGTGCACGAGGCAATTCCCGGAATTTGCAGAACGCGCACGGAAAAGGATCAGGACGTATCTGAAGTCCTGCAGGAGGAATAAGAGGGCACGAGATCCGAATTCACCTTGGGATGCCGTAAGTCTAAGAGCATGGTTTCGTAAAATCAATGGCTCGCGTCTTCTGCGTGATGCATTTAATTGAACTATACATTCCGTCTTTAAATTGCTTACTAAATATCGAATATAAGTGGAAAATGTTGTTCGTCAGTACACATATTGCACTTCAAACGGACCGCACCACCGTCAATGCGAAATAGTCACATGTTTCGGACGAGTATTTATTTTGTTTGTATTTGCGTTTGTAGACAAGACCTACTCCGGCGCATTTAACATCTGTCCAAGCCGAACAAATTTTGGCCACAGCATGTGAGAACGAGAGTCACAATGCGAAGCGGATGCGACTGGGGCTCGAACCAGTGAGTCAACCGATGCCTTTACTGCCCGGTACTGCAGTAAGTGTCAACATTAATATCTCAGTCTAACAATTAAATTATTCATCAATGCAATCGATAATAGTTGACTCGATTGGATTTGGTGTGAATCGATAGCACTTGTAGTTGTTGTTGAGAGAACAGTAGAGATGCACACACTACTAATTCGTTTGGATTGTACGAAACTGCTTGATTTCGTGGATGTTGTATTTTCATAAATGTTCTTTGTCTGCCCACAGCCCACAGATACGACGGCAACGATAAGCAGGGGCATGGACTTCACAGGAAGTACACCTGTCAAATTGGAAAGCGATGTCGTGTCGAGTGTCTTCCCCTCGTCCACTACACCCTCGACAACGCCCAATTCTATCAGCAAAAGCCTTTCCCTCACGCCGGACATGAAACCCAGCACATTAAGGTACATCCACCATCAATGTTTCCATGACAACAAATTATATTACCTTTGCAATAATCAATAACATTACACATATATATTTAACATTCAATTAGTAATTAGATTCAATTAATTAACATAAACAAATATAACATTTAAATATATTGTTCCATAATGTATTAGACGAAATTTGTTAGTAGTCGTAAGAAATACGTATATATTTGACGGAATAATGTAAATAAAATTTTGTTCAAAATTTTTGCATTTTAAATGGTAAATTGTAAATTAATGTGTTATTACGTGATAAAAATAAATATAAGTAAATAACAAACATAAAAAGCAAAGAAGTATCCACCGTCGAGTACTGCATTTGACTACTATATTTTTCGAAACATACGTATTATAGTTGATTTTTGTTGTCTTATAAATGTATCAGTTCGTGTTATCGTCTGAAAACATTATTTTTTTAAAAAATTTCACTTATTTAAATATTCATAATTTGAATTGGTCTTCATATTATTCAAAACACATTAAATAATTCCATTAATTATATCATTTCTCACATTTTCATATACAGTGGAACCTCGCTTAACGAGCACCTCTAAATTAATTGTAAGAAAAATGACTCACTTAATGAGCGACGTTTCGCATAACGAGTGATGATTTTTAAAACTTGTGTACACATTTTATGTGAATATGTTTCACTATGCTAGTAAAAATCTGGAAATTTTGGAAAGGATTAAACTCGTTTAGCGAGGTTCCACTGTATATACTTTTTTTTGTTAATTTTATACTTCTTACCCTTAAATGTATAGATTTCCTAGATGTAATAATATCTCTTTAAATTGAATATCTTACAAATATATTTTAAAATGTTTACATTATTACTGATATTTTTAAATTAGCAGAAATGATAGTGTATCCCATTTAATTTTGTCGGGAACAGTGTAAATTTACTATTATTTCTAATTTATTACGTGATCTTCTGATGATTTTACATTGGTATTCTTATTGCAGTGTATCAAGTGCAATGGGTACGACACCTATGAACGGGATCGGGATCTCTTCGAGCACGGCAGGATCAGCGCCGACAGCGATGTACAGACCGAACTTCTCTCAGGCTTTCCAAAGGGCCGGACCCTATCCCCTGTTCCCAGGTCAGAGTCCCTTCGCCACAGCCACCGTCAGCGGAAGCAGCGGCAGCGGTCTTCTCACAAATGGTAAATCGATCAAAAAGTGATCACAAAGAAGGTAACGAGAATCTAAACGAATACACGATTCGCAGGTCCAGCAGATCTGAGCATGAAGCAGAAACCTCTGTTGAATCACAAACTGAGCACGGGCGAGATGGCAGCAGTCCGGCAACTGATCACCGGATACCGCGAATCCGCAGCGTTTCTACTGAGATCCGCCGATGAACTGGAGCAGCTTCTTCTGCAGCAGCAATAAAAAAAAAGTGCATAAAAAGAAAGAAAACAGAATCGTTGCACTGTTTGGTAGAGAGTGCATCAAGAAGGTTAATGTTTAAAAACAAAACAAACACGAGCTTGTAGTCAGATTTGCCATACCATAATTTGTTCTTAAGTTTCTTACGGTCCCCCCTCTCCGATTCGTCGTCGTTTTTTTTATTTTCAACGTCATAGCAACTAGTAATTAATGATTATAATAGTAATTAACGTTTTCTTTTATATATATATATTTATATTTAATTCTTTAATTTTGTACTATTTAAAAGATGAGTTAAGCACTGAACATAATATGCACATACTAAGTTAAATTAGTAATAATTAAGGTGTGCAAAATACTTTTCTATACATATATATACTTATAAATGAAAAAAAATTATATATAAACAGTTTTTTTTAATTTCCTTTTTTAATTTCAATATAAATATAACAAAAAAAAACTATATAAAAATATGTAATCTAGTATTTATAGCAGGGTTTTCTTTATAAAGCAAAAAGATTCTAATTAATCTGCTCACTGCGCGATAGTTAATAAGTAACTTTACAATTGGCTTCTCACAAATTACTTGCAAGTACAGTACATGTGATTATCAAGTACTTTTCAAGTGTCGCGCAGTGTAGCAACATGCGAGAAACGTAGTTTTACGTAGTCGAAATATAAGAGCTTGAGTGGTGAAGAAGGAACGAATGAAATCGAGGTATTTTTGATTAAATGTACAAAAAAAAAGAGAAAGAAAGTTTCCTAGAAAAAAAAAAAACAAACAAAGAATGAAACAAAAATACGCGAAACTATATTTATTTATTAGACGTAACATTAGGAAGATTTTTTTATGAAAAATAAATATTGAACTATACTTATTACAGGGGCAACAAAAAGGAAAAAATAATGTTTATATTATATTTGATAAATCTAAATGTTGATGTCTATTTTAAGAGAATGACGCGGAAACCGTGATTGATTGATTGATTGATTGTTGAATTTATTTTTATTATTTTCTTTTTTTTTGTTTGTTTCTCTTGTAGTCGATGGAATATTTGTGGTGTGTACCAAAGAAGAAATTGTAAATATTTTTAATTCTATAATTATATAAAAAACAAAATATATATATATGAGATGATAAAAAAAAGAGAATGAATATTATCGCCGATTGTGTCTAAAAATACAAATACGAGAAATTATTATATGATGGGGAAAAAAATATATATTGGCATTAAACAAAAATAATTGAAAAGTAAATATATATATGAAATAATCTTTGTAAATGAAAAATAAATGGATTTTTCTGAAGAAACATTCTGTGTTTCAGTTATTTATTATTATTTCAACATTTATTTTTGTTTATTAAAACTCGATCGAGGACTTTTCTTTCTCGACTTAATGGATAAACTAAATTAATAAAATGAAAAAAAAAACAAATCTATATGATATTTCTGTGATTGTTGATAAGTGTGTAGATATTTATATATATATAAATAAATAATTAACAGGATAAGATCATCAGGAATTATATTATTTTGAAGATCGTTCGAGCAATTTGTGAACGGATTTTCTTCTTTTTTTTTTAAATACACTTAGAACGAGAGAGAGAGAGAAAATGAAACATGTTTTGTATGTTTTTTTTTCTATATATTTAAATATAAATAAATATAAATCTCTATATATATATAAAGAATAAAAAAATATATAAATGTATCTGTCATCTGTATATTCCAAACATTCCAATGTATTTCTCAATGTATATATTAATTAATAATTAAAACAAGAACAAAAACATGTATTTTTATCTGATCACTGCCAGATATTTGTGTATGAATAAACAAGAAACAACGTAATCATCCTTATTTTTTATATTATTTCGTTTTGTTTTCATTTTTTTGGTAATAATTTAAACTGAAGCATTATATTATATTATAATACAGTAAGTCCTCGAATTACGCGCCTTCGATTTACACTGTTTCACATACTTTGTACATTTCATGTATGCGGGGAAAGTTCAACACTCAAATTAACATTCTTGCAATTGTAAACAAAATTATTTATGACTAAAAGTACAAATATTCGTTAACACAATATTTTTTAGATTTCTAAGGGATTTCAAGAAGTTTCTATGGGATTTCTATAAGAATTTTAAGAAAAGGGTAGAGGAAATTTCTGTGAGAATTCTAAGGGATTCTAACTATCCTATATGAGTATAAAGCGATCAAAAAATGCTATACTTTATAATTTTTTTACATTTTTCGACTTACATTGAAACTTTTAGAACGAGTTAACTCCGAATTCGAGTAATACATTAATCATTTTAGTATGTTTTATCATATATTCTGAATAAAGTATGATGTATACATCATGTTAACCCTTTCCAGCCCATTTTTTTTTTCTTAAAAAATAATTTTATTCAAATCTTTATAAAAGCACTTCTTCAATCATAAAAAACTTTTTATCTGTTTTTTGAACGTCGAGATTTCGAACATCGGGATTTCGGTTGTCGGGCTTGCGATTGCCACTGGTTAAAAATACATCTAGCTTAAATTTACATTAGTTGCATCCAACAGTTTTAATCGTCGAAAGTCAAAATTGTATTTAAAAATTATTGATTCCATTTGGAATCACTGGACTGGAAAGGGTTAAAATCAAAAATGCTTACATATAGTATATATTGAATATTTAGTTTTATTGTAGGCAACCAATAATACACATTGTAGACATTAGGCAATTACATTACATAATCATGAAATTTGTTATATAGATTATGCAATGTAAGAATAAATATGCAGTAAATCCATTAACAAACTAAGATTTTTTTTACGATTTTTACGATTTAAAAGACTTTTATTTGTGTAAATATGCAATACAGAGAATGGTAATTGTTAAGGGGTGGCGTATATGTGAGCTTGTCGCTCATTTAGCCAGAAAATATAAAATATATACATGATGTTTAACTGAGAGCAGTGAGGAAAAAATATATAAATACAATAAAGAAGAGACAATAAAATTATTTTTTTTATAAAAGAACAATTTCAATTAGTTAGTAAATAAAGTTATTATCCAATTTAGTTTAAATCTAATAAATTATTAATTCTAAATGAATTTAAATTTGTAAACTTGCATTTGCTTATTTACTTGAATTCAATGATTTATGAATAAATATAAAATTATAAAATTTTCACAAATTATAATTTATAAATATTTTTTTGTAAGTTAAAGGTAAAACAATTTCATTTGATTGAGACATTGAAGTTTACATTTTATGTTTCTTGGAGAGTGAGAGCAAAATATAATATGTATATTAATGACCAATAGTAAAAATAAAAGAATTCGTATAAAATGGATAAAAAAAGAAGTTCCTGTTGCATCCTGCTGCGTTTAGCAAGTTTTCTAAACGTGACCGAGGATGTTTATCCATTTAGCATTGGTTCATCCAGAGTAGAAGAGATGTTCTTCTTGGAGCATTGTGAAACGAGTGGAGTCGGTTGGTTGTCGAGCAAGAAGTGTTGTACTCCGGCCTGTACAGCAATGGAACGGGCCGGGTGTTTTATGATATTTAGAATGATTTACGCACAGAAACCAATTATCTTTAATGCTGCCTCCTATGCGAAAAACACCATTGCCCGAGACAGGCATAAAAATCGCATTGGAAACCCCATCGATTCAGCCTCATCCTCATTCTCCTCCTCAAGCTTCTTCGTCTCGTCTTTAGATCCTTTCAACAATTTTACGACTTTACCACTTTTTCTTATTCCTACCAGTGCTTATTGACTTTTATTATGGCACTGCAACATGCAATTTCCACTATTTTTACCCGCTATAATTGCCAACCTTCTGTTTTTCACTTTTCTCCTAACTTTTTTAATTGCGATTGCAATCACAAAACACGCATATATTTGAATATTTCAATAAGAAACAAAAATATAGATATATGTTTACATAAGCAATCAATTCTCGAATGATACACAATAAACATTTCTATGCGTTTTAACATTTCATCAATGAATTATAATTATGATTTATATACTAAGATAGCAATAGACCTAGTTACGACAATCGCTTCATGATCACATAGATGAAGTATATTTTTTGAAATGTTGATTCAGTACATTTGGTTCTCTTTTTATGCGGTAGATACGTTCCACAAGAAAACGCATAAAAATAAATCGCACAAAAAAGGACTAGACACACGTATAAAAATAAAGGATACGTTCCATAATTTTTTAAAACCGCATAAAAATAAATCAATGATTTACAATATACCGAAAATCACATAAAAAAGGCTTTATTAAATTTCAGAAAAATAATTAGTTCTACTATATTCTTTCTGAAATGTTTATTAATAATTTTATAAAAACGTTAACAATCATAGACAAGTTTATTAAATTTCATAAAAATATAACATATTCCTTCTTAATTTATACGGAAAAATTTTACAAAAAAAAATACAGAAAATTTTTATGAAAGTTAATCTTTCTTCACATTTTTTTCTTTAGAATTATCGTCGCTATATGAGAGTGTTCGGCATAATTTGCGAACTGGTTCGAAATCACTTTCATCACTAGAAGAGATAGTCAGCATATCAGATCTATGTCCTGAAGATAATGATTCTTCACAAGTAAAATTAGTCTCAACTTCGCATGTTGATTAAACTTTGCGATGGCTTTGCTACTTTTTTTGTACAATTCCTGATATCCAGAAATGCAA